AAGTTCTCGATTTTTTGGAAATTGTTCATTTATTTATTATTAATATTATCATTAATATTATTCGTGACTGAGGAGGGCGTCCTGTCGTCATTTTGGGAAGAAGGTTCTCGATTCTTTAGGAATTGTTTATTTATTTATTTAGGTACTGGAGTTATCATTAATATTTTTCGTGATTGAGGAAAGTGTCCTAGAGCAAGATGAGACCAAGCCAGAGGGAGATTGAGGAAAGTGTCTTGTCTTCATTTTGGAAGGAAGGTTCTCGATTCTTTGGGTATTGTTCATTTATTTATTTATTTAGGTGTTGGAGTTATTGTTATTACTATATGTGACTTATTTATTTAGGTACTGGAGTTATCATTAATATTTTTCGTGACTGAGGAAAGTGTCCCAGAGCAAGATGAGACCAAGCCAGAGGGAGATTGAAGAAAACGTCTTGTCTTCATTTTCGGAAGGAAGGTTCTCGATTCTTCGGGAATTGTTCCTTTATTTATTCAGGCACTGTAATTACTGTTATTATTATTCGTGACTTATTTATTTAGGTATTGGTGTTATCATTGATATTATTCGTGACTGAGGAGTGTTCTCGATTCTTTGGGAATTCTTCATTTATTTATTTAGCTGCTGGAGTTATTATTAATGTTATTCGTGGTGGTGGTGTTGCTATTGGGATTATCATGTTTTGTTATATCTTTCTACTGGCTTTTATTGTTCTTGTTGTTGTTATTGGCATTATCACTATTATTATTGTATATATTATTACTACTACTATTACTGCCACTACTAATAATAGAAATGATAATAATAATACAACTAATACTACTACCATTATTTTCTTATGATCATTATCATTACTACTAATGATACTACTATTATTGTTTTTACTATTATTACTGCTACGACTATTATGATTATTATTTTCATTATCATTACTATTATCATTAGTAATAGAAGTAGTATCATTATCCTCCTCCTCCCCCACATTATCATCATCATCATCATCATCATCATCATCACCATCATCATCATCATCAACATCATCCCCACCACCACCACCATCTCATATCTATCCACCTTTTCCTCTATCTCCCTATCCATCTATCCATCTACCTACCTCCCTATTCATTTACCTACCCATCTATCCCTCCACTTATCTATCTATCCATCCATCTCTTCCTCCCGCCAACCATAAGAGCTATTACTCGCTCTCGTAATTAGCATATCTGAATTGCTAATGACTGCGTGAGTGGAAATCTACATTAGCATAATCTTTTTTGTTATATTAAAGACATCCATTCCATTCCAGACACTTGTAGACACTTTACATAAACATAACTATGCATGCAACATCCATTGAGCTCATGAATAATGTTTATTGTGACAGTTATTCGTAGAGGTATTAATAAATGGGTATGTTTTGTTTCATAAGAAAATATTTATAGTTTCTAAGATAAAGAAAGTTGCATCTATCTGTCTATCTATCTATTTATATCTATTTATCTATCTATCTAGCAGTCTACCTCTCCGCCTACCTACCTCCTTACTTATCTATCTATGTATCTGCCTATCTATCTATCTATCTATTAATCTATCTATCTATCTACCTTCCTATCTAGCTACCTATCAATCTATCTATCTATTTATCTATCTATCTATTAATCTATCTATCTATCTAACTTCCTACCTACCTACCTGCCTATCTATCTGTCTATCTATCTATCTATCTATGTATCTAACATCCATCCATCCATCCTTCCTTCCTTCCTTCCTTCCTTTTTTTCTTCCCTCCTTTCATCCACCCATCTATTCTTCCATCCATCCATCCTTCCTTCCCTCCATCCTTCCCTCCTTCCATCCACCCATCCATCCTTCCATCCATCCATACATACATACGATATAGCATACATATATGTAATAGGCTCTACACATGATATAATGTATTGTGGCATAACATATTCAGGTGAGATATAAGCAAGGCAGATAGTGGATTGATGTACATAATAAAAGGACTCCTTGACAGCTTATGATTTAGCCCTTCCTGTGTCTCGCTTCCTGATCTCTCTCTTTATCTCTCTCTGTCTCTGTCTTCTCTCTGTCTGTCTGTCTGTCTCTCTCTCTCTCTCTCTCTCTCTCTCTCTCTCTCTCTCTCTCTCTCTCTCTCTCTCTCTCTCTCTCTCTCTCTCTCTCTCTCTCTCTCTCTCTCTCTCTCCTCTCTCTCTCTCCTCTCTCTCTCTCTCTCTCTCTCTCTCTCTCTCTCTCTCTCTCTCTCTCTCTCTCTCTCTCTCTCTCTCTCTTTCTCTTCTCTCTCTCTCTCTCTCTCTCTATCTAACTTTTTCTTTCTCTATCTCTCCAGTCCCTCCTTCCAATCCCTCATCCTTTTATTCCTCACCCACTCTATCCATTTCCCTCTCTCCCTCACTCTGCCTTCCCCTCTTCCTCTCTTCCTTACACCCCACCCCACCCCCACCCCCACCCCGTCAGTAAGGGAACGAGAAGATAGCGTTTTATGAGAGTTCGCGAAGGAGAGTTTAATGCCAGAATCAAATGCGGGTTTTCTTCGGTTTTCCCCTCTTTGCCCCCTCTTTCTCTTCTCTTTTATCTCTCCTTTCTTCGTATGTTTCTTTTCTTCTTCTCTTCCTTCTCTTATTCGCTTTTCTTCGTTCTCTTGTCTCTGTTTGCCTTTCATTTTTTTTCTTATTATTTTGCCTCCTCTCTCCTTCCTCTCTCTTTTTTCTTTCTCTATCTCTTTTATTTCTTTTCCTCATCCTCTCCTCTCTTCTTCCTTATCTTTTTTCTTTCCTCTCCCTCTCTCTCCTCTCCTTTTCTCCCCTCACCTTTTTTCACCTCCTTTCCCCACACTTTTCCATTCCCTTTTCTCTCCTCCCACTCCTCTCCCTTCCATCCTTCTCTATTTCCCCTTTCTCCCTCCCCCTTTATCTCTTTATCCCCCTTCCCCTCACCTCTTCCCCTCGCCTCTCCCTTCCCTTCTTCCTTCCCTTTCCTCCCCTTTTCTATCCCTTCTTCCCTCCTCCCTCCCTCCTCCTCTTCTTTTTCCTTTTTCTCCCCTATCTTCCCCTCTTCCTTCCCTCCTCCCTCTTCTTTCTCCTTTTCTCTCCTCCATCTTCCCCTCTTCCTTCCCTCCTCCCTCTTCTTTCTCCTTTCCTCTCCTCCATCTTCCCCTCTTCCTTCTTTCCTCCCTCTTCTCCCCTCTAATCCCTCCCCTCTCACCTTTTTTTCCTCTCTCCCTTTCGCCATATTGTTAAATTCGTGATTTTTTTCGTTTCTTTCTTTCGTTCTCTTTTCTTATCAATTTATTTTTTTGTTGAATTGAGGATTGAATTTTGGAATTGTTTACTTATTTATTTGTTTTGTTGGATAATTATTGTTTACATTGTTTTGCTTGTTTGTTTTGTTAGATATGCATTTTCATCTGTTTGTTTGTCTGTCCGTCTGTCTGTCTTTTAATGTGTGTGTGTGTGTGTGTGTGTGTGTGTGTGTGTGTGTGTGTGTGTGTGTGTGTGTGTGTGTGTGTGTGTGTGTGTGTGTGTGTGTGTGTGTGTGTGTGTGTGTGTGTGTGTGTGTGTGTTGTGTGTGTGTGTGTGTGTGTGTGTGTGTCTGCGTGTCTGTGTTTGCCTATGTATATATATGCCAGTCCGCATATCTGTATGTGTGTACGTATCCCCATCCCTGTGTACACACCACCCACCATACCGCCTACATACACACACGAATGGATAAACATAACATAGTTTTACCTTTTTTTTTTTACATTTCGTGTCATCGTCCGGCTCTGAACGAGACAAAACGCATTCAAACGACTTTAATCACAGTTTTTTTTACACTCTGTATGGAGGTCCCAATCCTCTCGTATATTTTAACTTCACTTTTAGCCGACGGGATTCCAGAAATAATGGGAGGGAATGCAATGGTTGTTGTTGGTGTTGGTGTTGTATGCAATGTTGGTGTTGGTGTTGGTGTTGGTGTTGGTGTTGTGGTGGTGTTGGTGTTGGTGTTGGTGTTTGGTGTTGGTGTGTTGGTGTTGGTGTGGTGTTTGGTTGTTGGTGTTGGTGTTGTGTTGGTGTTGGTGTTGGTTTGTGTTTGTTGTTGTGTTGTTGTTGTTGTTGTTGTTGTTGTTGTTGTTGTTGTGTTGTTGTTGTTGTTTGTTTGTTGTGCTGCTGCTGCTGCTGCTGCTGCTGCTGCTGTGCTGCTGTTGTTGTTGTTGTTGTTGCTGTTGTTGTTGTTGTTATTGCTACTGTTGTTGTTGCTGTTGCTGTTGTTGTTGTGTTATATGTTTATGTGTCTTTATTTGATGTTTTGATAGGCCTACATGGAATTTATGATTGGTTTTGAATACGTGTTTTTATGTAGCTTGTTTTTTATTGAGTGTTTAATCATCTTTATTATTTTCATTGATGTCCTGTGTATGTAGTGTAATTAAATAGTGATTATAAAGCATTTTTTTACTGATATTTAGTCAGCATCATCACTATCATCTATAATAATATTTCTATAAACTTATCTTTAATTTGATATTTATTTTTCTCACCTGTATTCACCTTTAACTATAATTATCTTTATTTTCTATTAAGATCATCTATAGTTATATCTATATTCATAGTTGAATTTCTATTGAATCTAATCTCTATTCATCTATAATTTGATATTTTATATCTAATCTAATTTTTAGTCCTCTTTAATCACCCCTGTGATCATTACTATCATTTAATCATTACTATCACCATTGCTGTCATGACATTTGCAATTACCATAATTATCATCATCATTATTCATTATTTCATCATTATTATCCTCATTAATTTGATCATCATTATTATCATCATTAATTTAATCGTTATTATTATCATCATTAATTTGATCATAATCATTATCATCATCATTATCATCATTAGATTGATCATCATTATTATCATCATTAATTTGATCATCATTATTATTCATCAAGACATAGAATAACGCAATTTTCTTTACTTTATTTTCCCCAGATGCTTATTCTTTTTTTCGGTCCAGAAATTCTGACAGTAAGCATGTGTGGTGTTTGTTTGTTTTTAGTTTGTTTGCATTTGTTTGTATTTGTTTGTCGCCTTAGGTTATATTTTTTCGCGTATTTTTTCGTTTGATTGTTGTTGTTGTTTTTTGTTGTTTTGTTTTTAATATTATTATCTAGCTCTTTGTCGATTTTGTTTATATGTAGATATTTTGTTGTTGTTTTGTTGTTTTATTTTTTGTGGTTTTGACTTTTTTGTAGTGTTTTACTTTTTTTATTGTTTTTTTTTCTTGTTGTTGTTTTGACTTTTTAATTTTTTGTTGCTTTAATATATTTTTTGTTTGGTTTCTTATTTTCTTGTTGTTGTTTTGACTTTTTTTTTATCTTTTTTGCTTAGTTTTTTTATTGCATTTTATTTGTTTTTCGGGGTGTGGTTTGTCGTTTCCTTTGCAGTTTTTCTTTGTGTTTGTTCAGTAGTCTGGTAAACTTTCTCTCTTTCTGTTTTGTTATGTTTTTTCCTTGTTATCTTTCTCTCTTCCTTTTCTTCTCCTTTCTTTTCTCTTTAGATTTTCTTTGTTTCACTTTAGTTTAAGATGTTTGAGATGGAGTGTCCCGTTTTATATTGATTTTTTTTTTTTTTTTTTTTTTTGTAATTAGATGAATACCCTGAACCAAATTTTTTGAAAAAGCTTCTATTTATGTCTTGATTGTACAAATACGCTTCCGTGATGGTTTATTCAGTTTAGGGAATAAATTATTTTGCAATTTTCTAATTAAAGAAATACGTAACTTATATTATATATATTTTTTCTTTTGATGTGATTTTATGTTTTACCTTCCGTTTTTTTCAGCTCGAAATATCGATGAATTGTTTTGTTTATTTTATTTCAAACAACTTTACATAAAGTTTTATTATCTGTTTAAAGTTTCAGCTTTTATATTCTTTCTCTCAATTTTTCAATTTTTCAATTCGAGTCATTTTTCAAAGCATGAGTTAAGCAAAACCTTAATTGAAAGACTATCTAATTCAGATTCAATGACTCTCCCATTTGAACTCTGACCTTAGCCTTAAAGAGCAAGGTCACACCCCTCCCAATTTGACCTCTGACCCCTCAGATAAAAGTCACAGATGTCCACCACCCGTTCACCACGCCCACAAACTCTAACCAGTTCTATGTCAGCCCCCACACCCTCCCAAAGGAACAGAGGTCACGCCACAACCCCACCCCAGGCTATTCTGGGTCCCTTAGCCCAAAGCTCCACCAAAGGACATGGACAATATTACACACACAAACACACACACACACACACACACACACACACACACACACACACACACACACACACACACACACACACACACACACACACACACCACATTATATATATATATATATATATATATATATATATATATATATAATATATATATATATATGTATATATATAATATATATATATATATATATATATATATATATATATATATATATATATATATATATATATATATATATATATATATATAGTATATATATATATATATATATATATATATATATATATATATATATAATATATATATATCTACATATATACATGTAAATATACATATATACACATACAATCACACACAATACAAATAAACCCACAACTCTCCAACCCCTCCTTAGGTCCACACACAGCCCCTCCCGCCCCATTTCAAATCTTCCCTTCGACCTCTGACCTCTCTCACCCCCCCCCCGCCCTTACAAATATTCCCTTCGACCTCTGACCTCTCTCACACCCCCACCCCCAACCTCCTTAAAATATTCCTTCGACCTCTGACCTCCCCCCCCCCCGCCCCCTTACAAATCTTCCCCTTCGACCTCTGACCTTCTCTCTCCTCTCTCCCCGCCCCATTTCAAATATTCCCTCGACCTCTGACCTCCCCCCCCCCGCCCCATTTCAAACATTCCCTTCGACCTCTGACCTCTTCCCCCCCCCCCCCCCATTTCAAACATTCCCTTCGACCTCTGACCTCTCTCACCGTCCCCCCCCCCCCCCCCCCCCTTACAAACATTCCCTTCGACCTCTGACCTCTGACCTCTCTCACCCCCCCCCCCGCCCCGCCCCCCCCCCAATCCCCATTTCAAAACATTCCTTCGACCTCTGACCTCTCTCACCGTCCCCCATCCGCCCCCCCTTACAAACATTCCCTTCGACCTCTGACCTCTGACCTCTTCACCCCCCCCCGCCCCCCGCCCACCCCCCAATCCCCATTTCAAACATTCCTTCGACCTCTGACCTCTCTCGCCCCCCCGCCCCATTTCAAACATTCCCATCGACCTCTGACCTCTCACCCCCCCCCCCCCGCCCCATTTCAAGCATTCCCTTCGACCTCTGACCTCTCTCTCTCTCCCCCCCCCCTCTCCCGCCCCATTTCAAATCTTCCCTTCGACCTCTGACCTCTCTTTCTCCCCCCCGCCCCCGCCCCCTTACAAATCTTCCTTCGACCTCTGACCTCTCTCACCCTCCCCCCGCCCCCCGCCCCCTTTCAAACATTCCCTTCGACCCTGACCTCTCTCGCCCCCCCCCCCCCCTCCGCCCCCTTTCAAACATTCCCTTCGACCTCTGACCTCTCTCACCGTCCCCCATCCGCCCCCCCCCTTACAAACATTCCCTTCGCCCTCTGACCTCTGACCTCTCTCACCCCCCCCGCCCCCCGCCCCACCCCCAATCCCCATTTCAAACATTCCCTTCGACCTCTGACCTCTCACCGTCCCCCCCATCCGCCCCCCCCCTTACAAACATTCCCTTCGACCTCTGACCTCTGACCTCTCTCTCTCTCTCTCCCGGTGCTGCAGGGAAGGAGAGCCTCGTGATCAAGCCCCAGGGGAAGGTGCAGACCGTCTTCAAGGGGGAGAGCTTCTTCGTCTCCTGCTCCAGCGACGCCGACAACGTGCAGAGGGTCATGTGGACAGGACCGGAAGGGCAGCAGATAACCGACTACCGGGGCAGGTCAGGTCAACCACTTGGGCTCGAGGGATAAGGTTTATAGGGGTTATGATTAAGGGGGGGGGGAAGAAATGATGGTCACCGGTTATCTGGAGGAGGTCAGGACAGGCTGGGGGGGATGATCACTGGCTGTTGGGGAAAGGTCAGGGGTCGAGACAGGTCAAAGAGAGGAAGAGTGATTGTGGGAGATGATGACCGCCTTTTTATGGGAAAAAGGTCAGGACAACAATAATGAGAAATGATGATCAATGGCTATTTTGAAAGGTCAGGTTACATCTAAGAGCCAAGATAGGTCAAACCGGGTCATAATGACGGTGGGAGAGGGACACCTGTTTCTGGAAAAGGTCAGGACAAGGTGGAGGTGATATTGAGGATAAATGCTGAGAAATGATGATAACTGGCCATTGGGAAAGGTCAGGTCACTTCTAGAAAATGAGATAGGTGAAATTGGGTCATGAGGAAGAGAAATGATGCTCACTGATTTCTGGAAAAGGTCAGAACAATACTGAGAGCCAGTGCAGGCCAGATCTAGTGATTATAGTGAATGATTATCCTTTTATACCCGAAGGGAGTTCATGAGACAGGGGTCAAGATAGGTCAAACAGGTTGGCAGAAATAAGAAATAAAAACTGGATAACTCCATAATAATATAAGCCAAACAAAAGTATATTGAAAAAATCACAGAAGGGGGTCAGGTCACATCTGGAATCAATCAGTCTTATAATGATGTAAAAGAGAACAGGTCAAGATAGGTCAAATCCGATAATAATGATAAGGTATGATCATTACCTACTATCAGTCAGGACGTCAATACAGATTAAACCATATATCAGTGATAATGATTATGATCACATGGGTCATAACAGGTCATCAAGGCGAGATAACCATAAATACAATAAAACTTAGGCCAGAATACACTCCATATTTAGATCGATAGATACCCGATAGATAATGAAAACTAGAAAATAATAAATCCAAAAGATGCTGAAGTATACATAAAAACACAATATAGATATGCCAAAGAAACACCGGATAGATAAGATAGGTACTGGTATATTGAATCAGGTATACCAGATAGATGTTGGAATTTGAAGTTACGAAGAAAGTGATTAGAATGGAAATGAACAGAGAGAAACACTTTCTTTTATTTCGTGAAAAGGGAGAAGAGAGATATGAAGGAAATACTGAATAGCGTAGAAGGAAATTAATGAAAAGGGACTTGAGAGAGAGAGAGATGGAAGAAATATTGAACTGAAATAAAGATTGATAGTTAATTGGCAGATATATCAGAACATGAAATATTGATACAGCATAATTGATTTTAAAGAAAAAACAGTGTGAAGAAAGATAGATGATGAGAGAGAGAGAGAGAGAGAGAGAGAGAGAGAGAGAGAGAGAGAGAGAGAGAGAGAGAGAGAGAGAGAGAGAGAGAGAGAGAGAGAGAGAGAGAGAGAGAGAAAGAAAGAGAGAGGATACGGGAGAAAGAGATAAGGTGATAGACAGATAAATAGACAACTAGGCACGGCGATGAGAGAGAAAGGGAAAAGATGGAAGTTAACAAAGAGAGGGAAGGGCAGTCAACTACACACACACACACACACACACACACACACACAACACACACACACACACACACACACACACACACACACACACACACACACACACACACACACACACACACACACACACACACACACACACACACACACAACACAAACACGCACACACACACAATTCAGGACCCCGCCACACGCAACACCCAGACAAGTTAACAGACAGACAGACACAGAGAAAGCTAAGGAAATGCAAGACACGACAACCGTTCACACACCAACGAACAGGTCAATCTAGGTCACACAATAGTTCCCAGGTCAACTGAAGTCAAGGTTTCCTAAAATAGCACTCTGAAGATGTTGCACTTTGCACGCTGTTGCGAAGGAGGGGCGAAGGGGGAGGGAGGGGGAAGGGGGATGGATGGGGGTGTTTTTGCTGGAGAAAAAGGAAGGTTTTTTTTCATCTTTATTTACTTATCCTATTTGTTTGTTTTTTTAGATTTTTTTCTTTCTTATTGGCGTTTTTCTCTTCTACTTCTCTTTTTTTCTTTTTTCTTGCTTTCATTTTTTTCGTCTTTCTCTTTTTCTTTCTTTCTTCTTTCCGTCTTTCTCTTACTTTTTTAGTTTCTTTTCTCGTCTTTCTTTTTTTCTATTCTCTCCGTCACGCCCTCCACGCCTTCTTCACTTCCACACACCCTCCCTTTCTCTTCACCCCTCCATATCCTCAACCCCCTCCCCCGCTCACTCTCCCCAACCCCATCCTCCCCACTCACCCTCCACCTCCTCTTCCTCCTTCCTTCCCTCTACACTCCTTCTCCCTCCCCCTTCACCCCCATCCCCTCTTCACCTCCCCCCCCCACCCTCTCTTCCCTCCCTCCCCCTCCCTTCCTTCCCTCTCCCCCTTCACCCTTCCTTCTTCTCCTCCCCTCCTCCCCCCTTTGTACCCCATCACCCCCTCGCCCACCCTCTCTTCCCTCCTTCCTTCCCCCTCTCCGCTCCCCCCTCAACACCCCCTTCCCCCTTCACCTCCCCCCCCCGATCCTTCCGGAAACCCGTTAAAGACGTGAATTAAACCGATTAATATTTCCCGCCTTTAATAGTGACTTCAATTAGACCACAAGAACAAGCGAACAATTAACAATTAGCGGGTCATTAAGCTATCTGTGCTAATTGCGACTGACTGTAAACTTAACTGGAGTTGCGGGAGTGGGGCGAGGACTTTCGGAGTGGGAGGGGTGGTGGTGGTGAGGGTGGTGGTGAGGGTGGTGGTGGTGATGGTGGTGGTGAGGTGGTGAGGTGGGTAGTGAAGGTGGAGGTGGTGATGGTGGACATGGTGATGGTGGTGAGGGTGGTGTGAGGGTGGTGTGGTGAGGTGATGGTGGTGAGGGTGGTAGTGAAGGTGGAGGTGGTGATGGTGGACATGGTGGGTGGTGAGGGTGGGTGGTGTGATGGTGGAGATGGTGTGCGTGATGATGGTGATGACGGTGATAATGATACTAATAGTCATGAATATGATAATGATATTCATAAAGATCATAATGACAGTGATGATAATAATGATAATGATGATTGTGATAATGATAATAATATTGATATTGATGATAATAGTAGTAATGATAATAATAACAGCAACAGCAATGATGATAATGATAATAATGATAATAATAATGATAATAATAATAATAATAATAATAATAATAATAATAATAATAATAATAAAATAATAATAATGATAATAATAATAATAATAATATAGTAAAATAGAAATAGAAATATATTGAGATAAGAACATAAAGAAGATAATAAAGATAAGAATCATGATAATAGAGATAATGGCAATAGCAATAATGATAATAGTAATGATAATGATGATTATAATGATAATTAGATAATAAAGATAATGATTGTAATAATAATAATCATAATCATCATCATCATAATGATAATGATGTTAATAATAATAATAATATAATAATGATATAATAAAATAATGAAAATAATAATGATAATAATAATAATAATAATAATATAATAAATAATGATAATATAATAATAATAATAATAATAATAATAATAATAATAATAATAATAATAATAATAATAAAAATAAGAATAATGATATGATGATAAAATAATATAATAATAATAATAATAATAATAATAATAATAATAATAATAATAATAATAATAATAATAATAAAATAATATAATAATAATAATAATAATAATATAATAATAATAATAATAATAATAATAATAATAATAATAATAAAATGATAATGAAAATTTAAATTAAAAAAAAAAACAACAACAACAACAACAACAACGAAAGCACACAAAGCCAAACGCAGGCAACGGAAGGAAGTCCCCCATCCCATAAAGGTCAAAGCAGCGATTACAGCCAATCCCTCTGTCGCCCTTATTGCCCCTTCTTCGTCACCTTAACAGCTCAGCGTTCGCAAAAGCATCAGGAGAGACGCGGTTGACCTTTCTCCCGCGTGGGATGGCGGGGGATGAGGTCACGGGATGGATGCTGGGGGGTGCTGGGGGGTGCTGGGGGGTGTGATAGGGTAAGGAGGATGGGGATGGGGGTGTTTAGGGATGCTGGAGGGTGCTGGGGGTGTGTAGAGAGTAAGGAGGGCGGGGTGGGGTTTCGGGATGCTGGGGGGTGCTGGGGGTGTGGTGGGGTAAGGAGGATGGGGGGGGGGATGTTGGGGATGCCTGGGATGCTGGGATGCTGCAGGTGTGGCAGGGTAAGGAGGATGAGGGCGGGGGTGTGTGTTTGGGGATGCTGGGGTGGTGCTGGGGATTCCTGGGATGCAGGGGGTGTGGTAGGGTAAGGAGGATGGGGGATGTTTGGGGATGCTGGAGGTGCTGGGGGATGGTGGGGGTGTGGTGGGGTAAGGAGGATGGGGGCGGGGGTGTTTGGGGATGCTGGGGATGCTGAAGGATGCTGGGAGATGCTTGGGATGCTGAAAGGTGCTGGGGGATGATGGGGGTGTGGTAGGGTAAGGAGGATAGGGGGGGGGGGATGTTAGGGATGCCTGGGATGCTGGCGGTGCTGGGGGTGTGGTAGGGTAAGGAGGGGGGGCGGGGGGTGTTTGGGGTAGAAAGAGGGGGAGGGGTGTTAGGGGATATGGGAGAGGGGTGGGATAAGGGAGTAGGGAGAGGGAGAGAGAGGGTAGGGGATAAGGGGAGTGGAGTGAGGGGGTGGGGAGTGGGTAGGAAGGGGAAGGGGAGAGGGGAGGGAAGGGGTGTAGGTGGAAGAGGAGGGAGGAGTGGGGAGGGGAAGGGGAAGTTAGGGGGAAGGAGGGAGGGTAGTGGAAAGGCATTGTTGGGGGAGAAAGGAGGGAGGGAAGGGGGAAGAGAGGTAAGGAGATGGGAATCTAAAGAAAGTAAGAAAGGGGAAGAAGGGAAAGTGATAATAAAGAAAGAACAAGGAAGTAGATGTGGAGGACAAGGGGAGCAGAGCTTGGGGAATACAAAGAGGGGAAGAAAGTGGGGGGTAAATAGAGGAGCAGGAAGTTGGGGAATATAGGGGAGGAGGAGGGGGAGGAGGATAGATTGCAAGAGGGTGGGGAGGATATGGGGGGATGGAGGGATATGGGGGAGGGGAAGATGGTGGGGTAGGGGGGGGGGAAGGTGGGAGGAGATGGATATGGGGGTAGGGAGGGGGGAGATGGTGTGGGGAGGGGAGATGGTGGGTAGTTTTTAAGGATGGGGAGGGGTTATGACTGTGTTTGGGTTGTGGGTGGGGAAGGGAACGGGATAGGGGGGGGGGGTATCTGTGTGTGGTATATTTTATTGCCGAACAGTTTTGAATTCGTTCATAAGAGAGGGGTGTGTGCATGTGTGTGTGGTGTATGTGAGTATATGTGTGTGTGTGTGTTTGTGTGTGTGTGTGTATGCGAGTATATGTGTGTGTGTTTGTGTATGTGTTTGTATTTGTGGTGTGTTTGTGTGTGTGTGTGTTGTTTGCATATGTGTGGTGTTTGTGTGCGGGAATGTGTACGTATTTGTACGTATGTGTATGTATCATAAACTTACACAATAATATTCATCACCTACACAATACAGGGCATACCGAGGAGAAACATATAAAGGTAAAACATACAACACCACATTCCCGACATACATTCATACATTCACGCATAATAAAAGGAACATCCAGCCGGCGCAAGTTCAGAGTCAGGAAAGCATAAAACTCGGGGAATTATGCCTTTAATCTTACAGAATAAAAAGCTTATTTCAAGGGTCATTAAAATCAATTCCGGTTTCATATCCACAAAGGAGGCGAGAGAAGAACCAAAAATCTGAACCAAATCTTTTTGTTTATATATTTATATGTATATATATACAGATATATATATAGGTGTGTGTGTGTGGGGGGGGGGTGGTGGGTTGTATGTGTGTGTGTGTGTGTGTGTGTGTGTGTGTGTGTGTGTGTGTGTGTGTGTGCACACACTATACAGATATATACATACATGTAAATCGTAAAATTGTATGCGTGATTATTTTCGTATGCACGTTTGCCTGCGTATGTGTAAGCGCGATACGATATGTATCCAGTGTATGTATATATATATATACATATTACAAATATACGGTATAACATATATACATTTCCTCTCCCTCCTTGGCCGAGATCTCAAGACGTCTCGAACCTCACTGCCAACCTCTGCTCATGAATCAGTGGGGGATTCTGTTGCATGAGTAAGACAGACAGACGATGGGTAAAACCTTACACTCTAACCCTTTGTCTGTGGTGTTTATTCATCTGTCTGTGGTATTTATTCATTATTCATTCACTTTCCTCTAGACATCCTGTTTATGCCAGGGTCTGTTGTAGTTATGAGTCTTTATTGTTTGTTTATTGACACGTATGACAATTCCATCCTCTTTATGTCAGGATCTGTTGTAGTTATGAGTCTATTGTCTGTTTATTGACACGTATGACAATTCCATGTGTGAATTGGCTACACTTTCACACACGCACGTTACACACCGCCATTTAGACAGATAGAGTTCAGTTATTCCTTTCTTCCTTCCTTCTCTCTTTCCTCTTCATCACAATTTTCCTATCGGGGTTTTAGAAGGAAAAAAGAAAGAAAAAAAACAGAAAAAATACAAAGACAAAAGATAAAAAAAACAAGAAATACAAGAAAAAACGGGAAAAAACAAAAAAAAGGTAAAACAAAAAGAAAGAAAAAAAACAAGGGAAAAAAGACACTGGTCTGAACTGTGACCATTATAGGACACGAGGATAATGGTGGCGATGATGCCATGTAAGTTGGTGTGGGTGACCTAGTGTTCCTCCCGCCCACGCCCGTTTTGTATATGCCATTCATGTACGCCCGAGAGGACGCCCTTTCTCATGAATGGCGATGTCGGTTCATTCACTCGCTCGTACAGATGCATTCATGAGTATTAGGAGGAGGATGAGAA